GACTTTCTTAACTTTCAGACGATATATATACTATATGTTGCCATTTCAAAGTCCCACAAGTCCCTCAATTTCAAAACATCCAAAATTTAACCCACCATTCTTCTTCCTAAAATCTCCTCCTGTGTCCCATTCTTTTTTTCTTAAAAAAAATTTTTTTTAACGTTTATTCATTTTTGAGAGACAGAGTTTGGGCGGGGGGTGGAGAGAGAGACAGACAGACAGACAGACAGACAGACACAGAATCCGAAGCAGGCTCCAGGCTGAGCCGTCATCACAGAGCCCTATGTAGTGCCTGAACCCACAGACTGTGAGACCATGACTTGAACCAAAGTCGGATGCTTAACAGACTGAGCCACCCAGGCACCCTGTTCTTTTTTTTTTTTTTTTTTTTTTAATGTTTTATTTATTTTTAAGAGAGAGAGAGAGAGAGAGAGAGAGATAGAGAGAGAGAGAGAGAGCGCGCGCGCGGGGCGGTGTGAGTGGAGAAGCAGAGGAGACAGAATCCGAAGCAGGCTCCAGGCTCTGAACTGTCAGCACAGAGCCTGACGTGACACGGGGCTTGAACTCATGAACCGCAAGATCATGATCTGAGCTGGAGTCGGATGCACAACTGACTGAGCCACCCATGTGCCCTTCTCATAAAATGTTATTTTTGAGAGAGAGAGAGAGAGACAGAATGTGACTGGGGGAGGGGCAGAGAGAGACAGACACAGAATCCAAAGCAGGCTCCAGGCTCTCCACTGTCAGCACAGAGCCCGACGTGGGGCTGGAACCCATGAACCACGAGATCATGACCTGAGCCAAAGTCATCTGCTTAGCCAACTGAGCCACCCAGGCACCCTTCCTATGTCCCATTCTCTCTCTTATTCATCAACCTGGGCATCCCTTTGACTCCTTAATTCAGGCTCCACATTCAATCAATCAAGAAGTTCTGTTAGTACCACCTAACATGTCTCAAATCTGAGTCCCACTGCCATGTCTCTTCTGTAGGGTACCATCATGTTCCCTGGCTTGTCCTAACAACCTCTTAACCGGCTCTCCCTGTCCCAAGTCTTGCCTCACCCACAATTCATCTTCTTTACTTAAGCCATCAGTAGCTTTCTTTCCTTGCTATTAGGGTAACACCCAAACTCATTTACATACAGAATGGTGAGATGCTATAAGTTCATAATCAACAAACCTCACTGAACACTGCATTCTGCGTAACAATCTTTCCAGGGTTTCCATTCTCTAGTGACTACTGCAAACATTCTTCACCCCAAAACCTCTCATCTCCCTTCTACTCTTTACACATTAACTTCATCACTGACTTCAGAGAAAATAAGTCATCTCATCAATCACCACATTCTATGAATTCCATTACCTAAATAGCTTTCAATTCTGTCCACTTTTTTCCTCCCAAGTTAATTTATTTTAAGAGATAGAGCTCAG